CCCCGCAAAAACTTAGATACTGGAACACAATCCTATAATCCTGTGACTGCAGAATCATAGGATATTCATTCTCAACTGTAGAAAAATCCACTGGATTCTTACCTGGCATTATTAATGAAATATTGTTTCCATTAACTACAAGTAACAAAAGCTTTGGCCTTTTGAGTATTTATTACTTGCATAACATGCATTTAAAAAAAAGTTGAACATTTTAACCCCAGACTAAGTTTGGAAGTCTGGCAGTTTTTCATTTTACATGTTAACAAAGATAAAGTAACTGTGGGCCATACACAAGTACCATATTACTATAATTTTTCACAGATACCTGAACCAAATTTAATTTCTACACTTGCAGAAAGTAATTACAATGAGAGAGAAAACGTTTCTTTTAACATAAATCAGAAGGCTGCCTCCTCCTGTTTTTCTCCCTTACTATTCTGGTTTCTTTTCTTCTTCCTCTTCTAAATATCTTAGGAACCATTTAAGAAATGTTCTTAGAATTAAAGCACTTAGCACATTTAAAACAAAAGCACTTACCATTTACTAATGCTATATTTATTCCTCTGCCAACATTATTCTTAACACCGCTCATTAAACTGAAACAAAAAGAAATGTAGAATTGAATTATGACAAGCTTCATATCCAAATCATTTCATATTTTTAAAAAAGGCAAGACATAAAATGAACGGGTCCATTCTATACAGTTGCATAATCTACAAAAATAACCACAGAAAAGGCTTAGTTATATAAACAGATATCTGAGGAAAGGGAATATTAGGATTAAAATGACTTGATGGAACTCCAAATTGGAAAAAAAAAAAAAAAAGGTTAAGTCATCCCTGTTTAATTTAAACATTTAAATCTGTTGCCTTTTCTTAACATAACTGTTTTTAATAGCCCCATATTTATATGCCTGGACACTTCATTTTCTTTCTTGTTTTTTTAAAACATATACTCCCTTTCAAAAAAAAGCTTTTTTGTTTTAAGAAGTAAAAATAATTATTTCTGAAGATAGAAATGTTAACTCAACTGAATAACTTTGAAGTAAAGGACAGGTACTACACACTAAAGTAAGACCCTATTGAAAGATACAAGTTTTAAAAATAATTTTGATCAACAATAAAGTCTATATTCCTTTTACTTTTCATATATTTTGGTAATATAAATGGAAGAAAATACATCCATGTTTGGAAAGAATGCCAAAATGCTGAGTCTAAAAGCTTCTTCTAGTTCCTAGTGTCACATCAGAAGAGAAAAGAGATATATTATGAAGTATTTAAATGTAATGAAATAAAGTTCCTTAGTACAGTAGACCCCCATTTACGCGATTCCAACTTAAGCATGTCTCGTGTTTATGTGCTTTTTATATTAGGGTCTGGACTGGAAAATGCCCTTTGAGATGCGCATCGTTCGCATATATACACAAACACTCATAAGATTCACGTATATATGCAAACGCCTCACAAGATTTGCAGGCGGAAGCAAGCGGAGCTGTGCCACCATTGTGGCAGCAGCATCTCAAGATGCATGGGTGAGATGCTAGACACACCTCCTAAAGGCAATTCTGCGGTGAAAAAAGGGAAAAAAGCTATGACTTAAGGTATGTCTAGGATACGCAACCCCCTCACTATTCTATTATTTCCTATGGTGAAAGCTGTCCCAACTTACGCGAATTTCACTTGTGCGAAATTCCCCCAGAACGCAACACTTGTGTAACTCGGGAGTCTACTGTATAAGGACAGATGGAGCGAGAAATTTGAGAGAAAGATGAAGCATGATTTTTTTTTTTTTCTGGGAAACTGACATCAGTGTAACTTTTAACCTGTGTGCTTTGCAACAATTTATCCCCAACTGAATTGGAATCTAGGCTTTGGATACATGTTATTTTTGTCTGACTGTGTATATACCCTTACAGAGCTATAAAAGTATTTATTTTCTCACCTGTTTGCAAGGCATACCTAACAATTGCAAAAAACTGAACAGCCCTTCTTACTTCCAGTCAAGCACAAAAGTGCACTTCCTCTTATTGCAATATCCAGATCAGAAAACATCAAATGCCCTTTTCCCCTTTATTAACTAGAATAAGTAGAATCAAATAATATTAAATATCCATTCTACAGGTTTAGTTCTTTTTGAACCTGATAAATTCAGTCACTAGAAAAGAAATGACCTTTTGTGCCATTCTACACAAACAGATCTGAATAATCATCTTGAAACAGGAAACTTGTGTAAGCGGGTAAACTGAAGCAGTACTGTTTAGAGTAGGTTCCTTTTAAAGAGGCAAGCTCTTTCTCCACAGGCTCCAGATGGCAGTAGCAGCCACCAGTATGTATAAAGGTAATATGGTGGATGTCTCACAAGAGGGCAGCAACTTGTCAGTTGTAGAATTCTTATCCCAACTATGGTCAACAGAACACAGACTTTTAAAACAAACGTTAAAGGCATTACACACACAATTGGTACAGATGTAAACTTTTAATTGTATGCATAAATAGACAGTCGCTCTCAGAGGGGTTTGTTTTTTTTTTTGCCAAATGTATACAATAAGTAAGCGATTCCAGCACAGATCTTGCAGGCTAAGTGCAGTTATCAAGAAGAAATATTTATTGTTACTAGTAAATCCCTGTTTTTTTAAAATCACTTGCTCTGAAGAACCTAGCATATTAGTTTCGTGAATCCTACCATAAAAGGCTCAAACTTCCTTAATCGTATAGTTAAGACTTGAAAAATTAATAAGTATTATGCATTTGTGTAGCTTAAATAAATCCTTGTAAATATTAAACCTCAGAGGCAAACATTATGAAAAACAAGATTTTATTATACCTATTTGACAGATTTGTAAAATGAGAGAGAGAGGTTAGCTGGAATACCCAAGGTAAAATAAGCCAGAGACAAGGGAAACAAAATCCAGTAGGGCCTTGCTTCCCAGTTCTGTGCTAACTGTGGAACTACATTATAACTTCACATCAAGTTTCGTAAGATGTGATAAAGGGCTTGCTTTCTATTGTGTTAACTCAAGTTAAGTGGTGCTTTAACCTCAAGTGAGTATGACTTGGAAGTCAAGTGCTGCAGTTACTTGAACTAGTAAAGTAGCAGGAATGCAGTAACATTTTAGATTACAACTGATAAACCAATTGCTCTGTGCTGCTAATTGATGATTCTGTATAGTTTGGTTATTGTCCGTTATATGATAATCCTTACCAGAGCTAGTTTACCTTGAACAGAATCAACGTGCTAATTTGAAATAAAAGTACCTTTAATCCTGAAGGTTTTAAAAACTACATTTCATATGGCATCGTATAAACAACATGGAAATCAACTGGCCACCAGCATAATCAAGCTACCACTGGGGAAGAACATGGCATTACACTTGGCTGCACTAAAAACACATAACATTGAAGGAGGATTAAAGAAAAATTCCCTCAACTACAACTAAAGAGAAATTTAAGGAAAAAAAAAATATAATTAATTTAAATCTGACTGAGGCTAACACTTTTACTCCAGTCAGTAGAACAGTATGTTTCATTTGAAAGATGCAAAGTGTTATGGCCATTGCCAAGTTTTAAAAGAGTGTCTACCAAAAGATCAATTTTACACCAGACAATTAATTTCATTGTCTGAAACTATCTCCTGAATACAGCAAACATATTCTTCTGAAATAATTCAGTTTATGAAGCTGAGTCATTTCAAAAGAACATGCGCTACATTCAAAAGCAATAAACTGAGGTGCTATAATAAAAGTAGCTAGCAAGCTTTCAGCGAAGTTTGATAGTCTATTTAAAATGCACTTTGGCACAGAGGTGCAAATTCCAACCAAAGTGGACTATTAACTGTCATACTTGCTGAAGCCATGCTGATACAGTACTGGGTGTGCAACAACAACACTAGTGTTCTTTGCTGATAATAAATGAAGTGTTCAAAGATCATCATTCCACAAGTTATCTTGGTATATATTCCAGCTCAAGATATTACGTGTTACTCAAGTTAGTAATTATGGCAGGACCCAATGTTGGAAATGAAATCTATATTTTGGAACCAACTGTAGCTAATCTTATAAAGTCACTTTAATTACAAGATGCAGTGATGGAAAGCTAATCAATTATCAGAAGTTCTCTTGTAATGCTGTCCTTTTTACTCAAGAAAAAGCTGCTGTTTACCTTTTAACAGATCAACATAGACTGCTGTAAAACACTGAAACCATTTGGCAGAAGAAAACCGCAGTCCTACTCTAATATTTTAAATCCCAGACTTCTGATAAAGGCTGATTAACTGTAGCCAGAATAAATAAAGCTCTTAGTAGTTGGGGAAGATTCCTTTGTTTCAAATCAAGATGACTTTATTTCAAATTGATCTGGCTGGTCACAACCTGAAGTCCCACATACTCTGTGGGATGAGATCATGGGTAATCATGATGTAAAATTAAAATGAGATTGTACAGAGAAAAAGTAGCATATTTATAAAGTAATTCACTTAAGCTTGCATATTAAAAGGGATGTTGTTAACAATTCAGGCAGTCTTTCTAAAAGTAATCACAAGAAAACCTTTGCCTGAAGGACAAAAAGAAAAATTTACTGTAAATAAAGACAATTGAATCTGATTTCTTTTTCTTTTGTAAAATAAAGCAGCAGCAATGCAAGATAATGACTTTTTATCGTTGCGACATCTTGGCAGGGCTCCTCTCAAAGAAAGGCTAAAAATATACTTGATCCGCTACTGATCCTATGGCAGAAACATTTAAAAACACTTTGCAAATAACAGTTTTATAATACTGTTAACCTATGACAATTAGAAAAATACTTGAAAACAAGGATTCGGACAAGAACAGACATTTATTTACATTTCAAGTATAAACAACAAGATGTTCTAGTCACTACAGCAAAATAAAAAGATTGTGAGAAATTATCCAAAGTAGCTTTTAAAAAGATACTGACAGATATCAGTAAAAAAAGATACTTACACATTATCTTCTACACAAATTTTGGGCCCAACTACATTCGCTGCTCCACTTGCCATTTTGAAGGCAAAGTGCTTTTCAGGACAAGCTTTTGAAATCCCACATTTATATCTTGGAGGTTTTGTAGCTTTGGAAAGAAAATAAAGAGATTTAGATGCATTGTTAAGAGAAAACAGGTGTAGTCAATTTTCAAATAGATTTTAAGGAAAAAGTGGAAACATGTCTTAAATGATCCAACTTATAAGGCACAGTGAAACTGAAATATAGTAAAATTAAGAACCTAATGCAAATGTCTTTGAAATCAGTGGTAACCTTTCCACTGACTTCAGCAGGTTTTGCATCAGGACCTAAGTGGCTTGTCTTTGGCAGACAAAGGAAAAGAAGTTGGATCCCAAACCTACAATTCAAAAAACATTTCTCAACTTTCCTTCCTCGTTATATAAACTTTGAACCACTTGAAAGGCATGATGGATACCAGCAAAAACAGTGCTAACATCAGTAATTGTTGGAAGAACTAGCTTCAGATGCAGGGCCACAAAAGTAACCTATTTCTTCATCTGATAAATTATTTCCTCATCCTTCATAAAAGGAATCTTACAATTACTTCTGGTAAACTTGTATGCTTCCTTTTATTTTCCAAAAGATCACACTGACCAAATAAATAACGGAACTATAGTTTAAATACTGGACAGTATGACAACAAATATCTATTTTAACTAGTATGATCTGATTGAGACAATTCTTTAATTAGACTAACAACCACCTTCCGCTTCTGAAGCTATTTTCAGTAATTATCATCTCTGACGGCAATTTCTATGTTGCAGCAAGAATGACTATTAAATAAGCTGGACCTGTAACACATTTATTGAACTAGTCAGCATTTGTCTTAGTACTTGTAGCCTCTTCCTAACCCATACTAGACAAGGGTGGGGCAGGAAAAACACAATAAGCAAACCCACCAACAGTAGCATAACTATAGGGGGGTGGGAGAGAGCTAGGCACTAGCTGTGAGGGAGTGCCAGAATTCCCCCCTCCCCCCAAGTCTTTGCCATGGGAGGGTCAGACCTGTACTGCTTGGCCACAGGAACTGGGCAGCACAGCCCCACACCTAGCAGTGCATCTCCTCCCTTCACCCCTCCCTGGGAGTTTATTATATTTGGGGGGTAGGGTAGAAGGGAAGCAGCAGTGGCAACAGTATCAGATGCCTTCACTGTACAGATAGCCTGGGCAGGTAAGACATCCCTTTCCCTCGTCACTCACCCCAGCCATCTACATCTCCAGTGGTTGGCATACCACCCCTCCATCCCCCAGACGCTGAATGAATTAGCTATGCATCTGCCAGCTAGACTTAGGATCAACAGAAATAAGAAAATCAGCTTCATGCTGAGGTCTAAATATAAGCAAAGCTTTAGTGACTATAAAAATCAAATGCTCTACTACTTGTTAGAGTGAGTCAAAGCTCCCAGTGCCACCCTAAATTAAAACACAACAGTGCCTCTTGTATCAGCCTCTCCGTGCTTCAAAACATCAGAGACACTTAAAGTAAAACTCATTTAATGCATTCAAACACCCCTGCCATTTTGAAGCATGGGGACACTGATACACAGGAGGCTGCTGGAGTGTGGCAGTTACCATACTTTGGCAGACTCAACTGATCGAGTCTGCTTGGACATTCTGTAATTATAGCGCATCAGTGCAGCCTCAGCACTTATATGCAGACAAGTCCTACGTACACCAGGCAATGGGAAGTAAATACCAACTGTATTAACTGTGGACTATGAATACTTACAACGTGCAGCCATATCCAACGCTGATCTGGCTAAAACGCAGAAGAAAGTCTTTAATGGATTTTAGCAAGAGTAAAATTTCACCTGAAATACAATTTTTATTATCCTATAAGGACTATCCTGTAGCCCTTTATAGAACTATCAATATAAGTCTGGTTTTTTACAACACCTCATCCAATACTTACAAGCCTTCCATTCAAATATAAAGCATCACCACTTATGGCAGAAGAATGATTAAGGTATCAAAAGTCTAAAATTGTTTTTATCCCCCCCCCCCCTTTTTTTTCCCGCCCATCAGTTTTTGTTTGCCAAATTTTAGGTACCAAGATGCTGATGACAGGTGAACACTTATAGATCCACAGAATTTCTCCTACTAATGCCATCTAAAAAAAATATGCAGAGAGAGTCTAAAAACTGAGCACACCTGTTCAGAAGCCATTTTTTAAAGTTAGGTTTTAGGCTACATGGACTTCAGAAAAAGTACATGCACTTGACACATTTGGGCGCATCCTCACATGCAAGTGCACTTGCACCAGCTCAAATAGGAGTGGCACAAATTTAAGCCTGGGATTTTTGCCTCAGCACACATGCCCGGACATGCACTCTGGTGTAAGGCAAGTTGTGCCACTTGGGGCAAAATAACCCTGCCCAGCTCCTCCTAAATCTGCAGCCAGGAGGAGCCAGCACCTAAGCAGTATGTACCTGCCCTGGCAAGTAACTCAGGACTACTTGCTCTCGGGAGCTTCTGGGGCCCAGTCAATTGGTACCTGGGGAAACTAGCCCATTGTATCAGCTGGACTGTTGAAGCAGCCCTGAGTTCCCTGCGCTACCCACTGCAGCAGTCTGGCTGTGGGGGCGGTTGCCTGGCTATGACCTGCTGTCACCTGCAACAGCATGTGGCCCCAAGGCTACGCACCTGCCAGACCCAAATGCATGCAAGACCTGGCCTGGCATGACAGGTAGTCCCCACGAGCAGCATGGGGCCCTGGGTGCCAGCCTGAGCAGCCTGGAGCTGCCCAAAGGTATACAGTGCTTTGCTGAGCCAGGCAGGGCCCACGCAACATGATGCAGGCAGCACTAGTAGCCAGGCAGCCGGGGCCGAGCTGTGCTGCCCTGCACCATGTGGGAAGTGTGTGGTAGGAGGCCTCAAGTGTCCCACTGGCTGCTGCTGCCGGTGAGCTGTGGATCATGTTGGGGGGCATGTGGGCTCTGCAGGGGGCAGGGCCAAGAGGCAGGCATAGAGACATTCTGGCTGGCTACCAGAGCATCTCTGTGGAGGAGCCGAGCCTCCGGTTGCCTCCAAGCATGGTCCTGGATCATGCCCTGCCCCACGTTTCTGGGGGGTTTTTTTTGATACTTGGATATCCACTTTTTTTGCTCCCAACGTGCCTCTTGCTATGTCTCAAACTGCTTTGAGATGCAGCAAGAGGCATGCACAGGCTCGTTTGGACACGCCATTGGAGTACAGCGCACAAGGCAGTACGCTACAAAAAAATATACACTATATGGACAAAATGACAAAAAGTAAATTCTGAATCATCTGTGTAGCAGTTATGCAGTTTATCTTCAATATCCACTTATAGTTAGGTCTCAAGAGCACTTGGGTAAGATTAAACAGAGCCTTTGAATGGATAAAATTTGTGCAGTTTTTAAATGCAGGAAATAAGCAAACCTATATTATAGCTAAAATATTCTGCATGTTGAATCTTAGTCTATCGATATAGACATTAAAAATATACTCTTAGAAGCCTAGCAATTCTTCTGGAGCATTATTATACCAGGCTATTGGAAAACATGTCCCAAGTCTGGGAGTTATGTAGTGAAAAAAATTAGAAACTACTTACCAAACAGGTTTCCTAAGTTTGCATCCATTTTTATTTCAAATACTTGTGTTATAACATAAAATGTCAGCAAAAATATTGCTACAGCTACCACCAATTTTGCCGCACCTATTCAGAACCACAAAAACGTTCTTAGTATCTACTTATATTTTACAACTTTATATATAAACAATCAGGTTCTATTTATGAAAAGTTACACGAGAAATCTGTAGTGGCTTATTCTAAATAAAGTATTTCTATAAATAGAATGACAATTAAACTGCAGAATAAATTTTAAAAAGTGATATACGAGGAAAATCAGAAGGAGAACTTTCAAGGTCTGAATTTCAATCACTACAATGCATCTCTCTTACATGCATACTGTCAAGTTTAGCTACACCTTCCACCTTATCATAGGACACAAATTCATGTATAATTTGAAAATAGCACTTTAGACAAAACTGCCACCTAGAGAAGGCTATATTAATGCAAATCCTTAGGGGGAGAATTAATAGACATTCCGTTCTACCTATGAACATGTTACACATCAATTTTATTATGTACGAGTGGGGAAGAGTCTCTCTTCTTTTGTTCTTGCATTTCCTTTTCTTTCTACCTCCATTTATCCTTGTTTTTCTGTATGAGATCCAGTGAGTATTATGGACCTTGTTTTTATACTGTAGTAGCTGCTTTGCTAAACACCTCATCAGGTCCAAGCATTACATTTAGATAAGTTATCAATTTTGCACCTTTTTAATCGGAAAGTTTCCAAGTATGTTTAAATGTATACTGTATTTCCTTCTCAAAGGAAAACAGAAAAAGGTTAGATAAAGCCCAGTTAAAGACCCATAAAAAGCAATAATTCCTCCTGTCCCCTCCTCCTTTTCTTTTTAGGTGGCTCGAAAGCATAAGAACCCAGCTATCCTGCTACACTTGTGATACTGGAGGTCAAGCAACATGCTGAGAGATGAGTGGGTTTCAAAGAACTGTTAGCCTAGCAATCAGCAGCTTGTATCTGAAATAGAAACTCAGTTTGTACTGAGGACAGGACAACCATATTAACCAACTCCTGCTGTTTTTTTATTACATATATGCCACTTCCCCTCATTATTTCCAACAGATTTACAGAATAAATTGCTCTTAGTTTATGGTATGTACTGAATACCTGGGTTTGAAAGTACTTATTTAAGCAACCAGGCATCAAAATAACACCTCTGCCCTCAGTTCTTCTCTGCTATGTTAGAGAAAAGGGAGATTATAGGAGGGGGACAAACATCACTAGTGAACTTACTGGTCTTTCAAAAATTGCAGCCTTTCTAGACCTTACCAGAATCTTTATGGCCTTAGCCCTCTCTTTCAGCATATTAAAGAATGCATTTAGTCAACTACTGTATTTACTTGAATACAAGGTAAGGCCTTTCCCCCACAACTAGCATGGGGGAAAAAGCGCTTCATCTTATAACCATATACAAGGAAATCTCACTAAATACATTATAATTAAACTGCTGCCAAAAGCAGCATGTGCTCAGCAATGGAAACCAACTATAGTGTTGATTAAATGCATCCAACACTGAGCATGACTATAAAACACGTGGCTTACACTGGGCAAACATGATGATGGGAACCCTGGTTTTTTTTATGGCCCTGGGGGAAAAAAACAACAGGCAGGCATTTCCTCCTCAGGGAATTGGCACCAAGCCCAGCAGCACTGCAATACCAAGCCAGCACTGGGAGGGCCACACCCTGCCCCAACACGCCCCCCACCCCCAGTGCCAAAAAATGCTACATTCAATATAGTGATGGGAACCTACCGCAAGGAAGTGTCAGTATAGCTCATCTAAATAAAATATATGGTAGTGCCCATTAAGCACAGTCCCTTTCACCACCAACTCTTTCAAGTCATGGTGACCCACAACATTGCATATCCCAAATCCCTCTGCCACTCCCTCTCTCAGCATGACATGTATGATTAGGGTGGCCCCACCTCCATGAGGTGCAACTGGACTAGGTTGTCCTGCGCCTCATCTGCAAATATAAAAAGTTTTGGAGCATCCCAGGATTTGTGACAAAAAACACCAGGTTCTGAGCATGAGCGGAGGCTATTTAGGACATGGATTCTTGGGGGTGTAGGGGAAAAGCAGCAGAAAGATCTGGAGTATACACATACTGAACAGTGCTGAGCTGCAGGGTCACTGTGGCTTGAAATGCTGTTGACTCTGGTGAAGCCCAGCCCAGTGAACTATATGGTAAATCATGAGCCTTTTGGCTTTGGACTAATACCATGCATAGGTTGTGCTACATATAACTAGACACCAAAATACAGTTTGTGAAGTTCTCCCAATGCTCATGATTGTATAATATCATGTCCTGTACACAGTTAAATAGTAGTTATATAGCATCAGGAAATCACATTGCTATAGTATTAGTCAGAGCACTGAATCCCTACCAGAGTCCTATTGATTTGGATGCAAAACATTTTGGCTAATGTTGGTCACTTGTTAAAGTCTAGTCATTTTTATATGTCCACATAGAGTCAGTGGAATTTGCTTTTGTTACTCAACGCCCTCCATAGCACCTGTCAAGCCAGGTGATGGTTGTAAAGCACTGGATATTCTTCAGTTTTTCTTGATTCAACAAGATGTAGATGATCAACTATTCCATTTTGCAGCATGATCCCACTGAACGTTATTCTCACCTGCTACCCTCATGTTTACTCTTCCGCCAGTTAATGGCACTACCGCATTAAAAAAGCCACCTAAAAAGGACAAAGAAAAAACACAGTATTAGAACAGGCAAACAAGTGGTTTATCTTTGTTAATAACGTTATCATAATGAGAATTTCCCAGCTAATAGTAGTAATTAAAAATTTCACAGACCATTTAACAGGTGACCTTTTTTAAGTGAAAGACTTAAACCATTATTTTGTAATGCTCAAGTGAAAGGACAAAGAAAAGAAATTTGCATTTCTGACGTGCTGCTTTCGTTCATCACTTTTCTGACACAAACTATTTGAAAATTGTGTTATTCTAATCATTCATGTTTGAATTTCACCAAGTTCACCATATACTGTCTCCATTTTTGGCCTTTACTTTGACATAAGGTCTACAAATTCAATTCATATTCTCAATCAACTACCTAGAAGGTCACACATTATCCTTTGCTTTCTTGTAGCCATTCAATTTGTACAGTACAAATGCACACAAACAGCTATTTTATACATTTTACACTTTTAAGGATCTTTTTGTACCAAGACTGTTTCATGGTATTGTGGCATGTCAAACTTTTGAGTACTGCCTCTCTACTATTTAGATTAAAATAATTAATGATTAAACTGCAAAGTCTATGCACAAAAAATACTGCGTGAGCAAAAAAGATATGATACATGGAGCACAAGGAGAAAAAAGATCTACACACACATTTCCTATGTGAAAGTCACAAGTTAAAATTACTCATGAAGCAGGTGGTCAGACTCCAAGACTGCAGAAGGAAGAACTAAAAGGCCCTACAGGACACAAGGTGTTTTAAGAGGTCTAAAAATGGGATAAGGAGAAGGAACAATGAACTGACCTTCCCATTCATGCCTGCACATTTGGGTAGCCAGTGAATAAGTCTTCTGGATAGTCACCCAAAAGTTACTTGTTAAAAACGGCAGCCAAAATGTTAGGGATTCCACTGTGTAACCCCGGGTATCTTTTGTACTGGAATGATAAACAAACCTGTTCAATTGGCTCCCCAGATAGGAGAAATATTTCTCCTTTTTCCCTCCATCTGACCAAAAACTAACTCAATTTCAAAGCACTTATAAAGCACCATAGCCACATAAAGCTTATTATTAGTATAGGGGTGTCACAGCAGCATATCTACTCTGGTCAGAGCAAGTATTACTTGTTACATCTTCCACAAATCCACAAATTCTTTGAATTACCTATATACTTAAAGGCAGATCATTTTATCTGGAAAAGGGTGATTTAGGGGCTTCTTTTTCGTTTTTTTTTTTTAACCCCCCTCTATATCTGATGCCTAATTGAGTTTCACCTTGATAGAACTGGAGAAGAATTTGCACTTAAAAAAACCCAAGGTTAACTTTGTTATTGCCTCCAAGGGCCTATTATTACAGTAGGATTTACATAAGCATACAGCAGCTATTTTGTGAGTGTGAATTTAGTACAGCCTTTATTCTGATAGTCAGGTGATCAGACTGGCAGATAGCAAGGACAACACAGGATTAAACACTAATCAAAAGAGCGTTTCTATTCCAGTCTTTTATATATTATAGGTAATTACATCAAGCACACATCATTGCACCTTGCAATTTGCTGATTAATAATCTTTATAATTACAACTTTCCTTTTTCATACCTATTGTACCAGGTTTGGCTGTACTACCTGTTTTGCCCATGCCATGACTCTTTACAACTTACTGATTAATGAACTTACTAAATTACAGCATCCCTATGCATCTATTGTTTCAGATTTGGTCATACTATCCTAGATTTTTTCCTTATCTACAACAGCAGATTGTACTGATTCTATCCATCTCAGGATGTTGAACAGATTCCAAATGTTCTGATGCACTGTGCTACCTTCAAGAAAACTTTAAACCGGCAAACTTTTAACTCTGAGTGCTTCTGGCCTGCTCTATGGTCCACATATTATTATTAGGTTTTATACTAAGAGAACAATTAAAATTCTAACGTTATAATACCTAGTTTAGATACCAAAAAGTATGGATGCAAGTTGTACAAGCGTTCTAAACTGAAAGAAAATGTAATTTACAAACTTCAAAACTTTTTGTTACAATCTGTTCATTGTAATACTTCATTACAATAAATTTCATTACAAGACAAAGCAGGAAGAGCACAGAATACTATCAGAACCTTTATGAAAACTTAATGAAGACAACTGTACTTCATCTCTAGTAGGAGATACTTCCTAATTGGCTCAAGAAGAGATATGAAAACTCCACTCTATTTAAATATTAAGGAAGTGGTATGAGTACTATTTCTGATGACTCATTTACATTAAAAAAAATACCACACAGACTCTTTCAGTTTCAAACACCTTGTTGAGAATTCAAGCTCACTAGATGGAATATGGTAACACAATAGTTCTAACAGTCCTTCAAATCATTTTATGAACTGATTGAAAAATAAATTTGTTTCTCTTTACTTTGATATGAGCCCATTACACAGGGATAGGAATATTACCACCCAAATACTTGCATAACTTAATAAAGTCCAATAAGGGAAGCAAGCTCTGCTCTTATTCTTGTAAGGAGGAAGGTATAAAGGTCACATTATCACACACTTCATAGCTAGAGGTTGGCCAACAGAATAAGCAGCTCTCAAAGAAGGGACACAGCAAAAAATCCTAGCACCCTAACAGTGAGGTAAGACCACAATGTTTTTTAAAACTCCAAACTTGCTAACATGAAACAAAAATAATCTAAGTACAGGTTTCCCTTGCTGTATGCAGGTTCTGTATGTGCAAATTCACTCTTATGCAATAATGACTTTTTGGTATAAAAAGTCATATGCGAGGTAAATTTAAGAAGATGGCATTCAACACAGAGAAATGCAGGGTGCTCCACGTTGGGAGAACCAGCATCATAGTTATAGGCTCAGCAGTATTACACTTGCCAGCACCACAACCGAAAGAGACTTGGGGGTCTCGACTGACCAAGGATTAACATGAGCCACCAATGCGATGCCGTAGCCTGCAAAGCAAACCAAACTCTGGCATGCATCCACCAATGCATCTCAAGCAAAACCAGGGACATCATCCTCCTACTCTACCTGGTGTTAGCAAGGCCACAGCTAGAGTACTGCATCCAGTTTTGGGCCCCCCACTTCAAGACAAATGTGGATAAGCTTGAGAGAGTCCAATGGAGAGCCACCCGCATGATCAAAGGACGAGAGAGCAGGCCTTATGAGGAGGTGCTGAGGGACATGGGACTCTTCAGCCTACAGCAGAGAAGGCTCAGGGTGGACTTGGTGGCAGTCTATAAGTATATAAGGTGGGGGCACCAAAATCTGGGAAAACAGTTGTTCTCCTGGGCTACCCAAGGGATAACAAGGTCTAATGACCAAAAACTTCCGGAAGGCTGATTTAGACTGGACATAAGGAAAAGCTCCTTTACAGTCCAAGCGTCCAAAGTCTGGAACAGACTCCCCCCAAAGGTGGTGCAAGCACCTACTCCAGACTCATTCAAAAGGTGTTTGGATGTATATCTTGCTGGGATCATTTGACCATAGGCAGGAAGTCTGCTGAGGCAGGGTGGCTGGACTCAATGATCTTGCGAGGTTCCCTTCCAGCCCCTAATGTCTATGAAATATATTAAATTCACTCTTACGCGATCGGTGTCATGGAAGTCCACAGTCAGCTGCTTTGTGTGGTGCAGTGTAGGAGTGACATGCACCAAAATACAGTCTTGATGCCTCACTCAGCTACCCCCAGCTCCACCCCACTGGTGATGAGAGCCACGTGCCTGTTGATTGTCTTATGGATGTGACCCTGTCTGTACCTCCTACCAGTGATGTGGAGTCAGACGCTGAAGACCCTTCACCACCCTCTCTTCACACCAACTAAACATTCACCACCACCACCTTGTGCTTGCGTGTATCATCTGCTGTTGGCAAGTACCAAAACTGTCTTGTAAAAGTGGGAGAAATGGGTCCAGGGGTCAGTACAGTCCAGGTCTTGGAGCATTTCCCTATTTGTTACATTGTAAAGTGGCTTCCCTTTATGCAAATTTGAGTTATGCACCACTTTCCAGGAACACATGTACAGCATAAAGTGAGGGAAACCTGTATTTAGCAAATCACAAAGAAGTGCGATACCCAAGCCTTGCGGCACACTGCAGCAAATGTTCTGAAGCAAACAGAAATATAAGTAGTCAGCAGAAGAGGCAAGTTTAGAAATCATGACCTCCTGGCTTCAAAACAGCACAGGATTCCCTTTAGCGCAAACGTATTTGGCTAACAAGTCTCCCAGAGATCCTGGTTTTCTCTGTTTAAAAACTGCAAATTCTCTGATACCAAGTAAAAATGGCCAACTCTGATTGAAAAACCCCAAATCCAGATTTTTCCATGATTAAAATGAAATACCACTATATGTATTGGTACCAGGTGAACACAATGTTTTATTCCTGTATTTACAATTTTAAAGCAATTGGGAAACTTACCAGTGCCTCAATGATAGGAAAGCCAGAGTTCCCCCTGCCCCCTTTGCTCACCAGGATGTGGGCCCAACTGCTGCTTTGCCCCTTATAACTTTGTGGCACTGAGCAGCCCTGATACACCAGTGCCCTGCCCCTACTGTGGCCGCTCACTCCACACCCACACTACCCCCAGGCCCTGCTGCTACCCCTCACTCTCCACCCACAGCTCATCACCCCCCAGCACTGTTGGTGCCCCTCAATCGTGACCCATAGCCCTGTGCACCTCCCCCTGAGCATGCTAGAGAGGGGGCCCAGCTGCCAGGGCTATAATGCTAGGGCCCACAGCCCTCTGCCCCACCCCACCCCACCCCACAGCAGCACCCAAGCCCCTGGCTGTTGCCCATGAGAAGCAGTGGCTGTGGCAGCCAGAGCTGAGCCCCACACTTCCCCACCCTTGGGCAGCATGACCAGAGTGAAATTTGTGCCGGGGGGGAAGTGGAGGAGGGGGATGGAGGATGTGGGCTGTCCACTGTGGGCTCAGGGCTCCCCACCTGGGTGCTCTCTCCTCAGGGGCCTCTACCACCCAGCAAGCAGGAT